AACATACCCTGAGGGAAAAGACAGTTTCTTCAATAAAGGATTCTGGGAAACTGATATCTATATGCAGAAGGATGAAACTTCTAGACCCTTATCTTTCACCGTATACAAAAATCAAATCAAAATGGATTAAGTACTTAAATTGAAGACCTCAAAGTATGAAAACTACTACAAGAAAACATTGGGGAACCTCTCCAGGACGTTGGTCTGGGCAAAAATTTCTTGAGTAATATACCACAAATGAAGACAACCAAAGCAAAAATGGACAAATGGGATCACTTTAAGTTAAAAGCTTCTGCACAGCAAAGGAAACAATCAACCAAGTGAAGAGACAACCCACAGAATGGGAGAAAATATTTGCAAACTACCCATATAACAAGGATAACCAGATAACCAGAATTTATAAGGAGCTCGGGAAAAAAAAATCTGATTTACAAATGGACAAAAGGGGGGTGGGTGGGGAGGTTGGGGAGGGATAACATGGGGAGAAAAAATGCCAGATGTAGGTGACGGGGGTGGGTGGGGGATGGAGGCAACAAACCACATTGCCATTTGTGTACCTGTGTAACAATTCTGCATGATCTGCACATGTACCCCAGAACCTAAAGTACAATAAAAAAGAAATGGGCAAAATATTTGAATAGACACTTCTCAAAAGCACACAAATGGCAAACAGGTATACGAAAAGGTGCTCAAAATCACTGATCATCAGAGAAATGCAAATCACAACTGCAATGAGATACCAATTCACTCCAGTTAAATGGCTTTTATCTAAAAGACAGGCAATAACAAATGCAGGAGAGTATGTGGCAAAAAGGGGACCCTCGTACACGGTGGGTGGGAATGTAAATTAGTGCAACCATTATGGAGAACAGTTTGGAGGTTCCTCAGAAAACTAAAAATAGAGCTACCATATGATCCAGCAATACTATTGCTGGATATATACCCAAGAGAAAGGAAATCATTATATCAGGATATCTGCACCACCATGTTTGTTGTAGCACTATTCATTGTAGCCAAGATTTGGAAGCAACTTAAGTGTTCTTCAGAAGATAAATGGATAATGAAATTGTACTTATACACAATGGAGTACTATTCGGCTATAAAAAAGAATGAGATGCTGGGATGATTGGCTAGCCATATGCAGAAAATTGAAACTGGACCCCATCCTCACACCATATACAAAAATTAACTTAAGATGGATTAAAGACTTAAATGTAAAACCAAAAACATAAAAATCCTGGAAGACAACCTAGGCAATACCATTCAGGACATAGGCACAGGCAAAGATTTCATGACAAAGATGCCAAAAGTAGTTGCAACAAAAGCAAAAGTTGACAAATAGGATCTAATTAAACCAAAAAGCTATTCACAGCAAAAGAAACTCAACAAAGTAAACAGAAAACCTACAGGAGAAAATTTTTGCAGACTATGCATATGACAAAAGTCTAATATACAGCATCTATGAGGAACTCAAATTTACAAGAAAAAATCTCCATAAGAAAGTGAGAAAAGGACATGAGTAGACACTTTGTAAAAGTAAGACATACATGCAGCCACCAATTATATGAAAAAAGCTCAATATTACTGATCATTAGAGAAATGCAAATCAAAACCAGTGAGATACCACCTCACACCAGTCAGAAGGACTATTACTAAAAAGTTGAAAAATAACAGATGCTGGCGGGTTGTGCATGTATACTGTTGGTGGGAGGGTAAATTAGGTCAGCCATTGTGGAAGACACTGTGGCAATTCCTCAAAGACCTAAAACAAATACCATCTGACCTAGCAATCCCATTAGTTGGTATATACTCAAAGGAATAGAAATAATTCTATAATAAAGACACATGCACATGCATGTTCTTTGCAGCACTGTTCACAATAACAAAGACATGGAATCAACCTAGATGCCCATCATCAAGGATGGACTGGAAAAAGAAAATGTGGTACATACACACCACAGAGTACTATGCAGCCGTAAAAAGAACAAGATCATGTCTTTTGCAGTGACATAGATGGAGGTAGAGGCCATTATCCTTAGCAAACTAACACAGAACAGAAAACCAAACACCACAAGTTCTTACAAGTGGAAGCTTAATGATGAGAACACCTAAATACATAGGGGGAACAACAACACACACTGGGGCCTTTTGGAGGGTAGAGGATGGGAGGAAGGAGAAGATCAGGAAAAATAATGAATGGGTACTAGGCTTAATACGTGAGTGATACGGTAATCGTATGATGAACTCCTGTGACGTAAGTTTACCTATGTAACAAACCTGCACTTGTGTCCTTGAACTTATAAGTTTAAAAAAAAAAAACCATGAGATCTTGTCATTTGCAACAACATGGATGGAACTGGAGGTCATTATGTTAAATGAAATAAACCAGGCACAGAAAGACAAACATCACATATTCTCAGTTATTTGCGGGATCTAAAAATCAAAACAATTGAACTCGTGGAGATAAAGAGTAGGAGGATGGTGGCCAGGGGCTGGGAAGGGTAGTAGGGGTGGTGGGATGGTTAATGGGTCCAAAAAAAAAAAAAAAAATGAACGAACAGGAACTAGTATTCGATAGCACAACAGGATGACAATAATGAAAGTAATTTAATTGTACATTTTTAATTCAGAGTATAATTGGATTGTTTGTAACAAAAAGGATAAGTGCTTGAGGGAATGGATACCCCATTTTCCATGATGTGATTATTACTCATTGCATGCCTGTATCAGAAACATCTCATGTACCTTATAAATATATACACCTATTGTGAACAGTGCCACAATAAACGTGTGTATGTTTCTTTATGGTAGAATGATTTATAATCCTTTGTGTGTATACTCAGTAATGGGATTGCTGGGTCAAACGGTATTTCTAGTTGTAGATTCTTGAGGAATCACCACACTGTCTTCCACAATGGTTGAACTAATTTACACTCCCACCAACAGTGTAAAAGTGTTCCTATTTCTCCACATCCTCTCCAGCACCTGATGATTCCTGACTGTTTAATGATCATCATTCTAACTGGCATGAGGTGGTAATCTCAATGTGGCTTTGATTTGCATTTCTCTAATGACCAGTGATGATTAGCTTTTTTTTCATGTTGGCTGCATAAATGTCTTCTTTTGAGAAGTGTCTGTTCATATCCCTTACCCGCTTTTTGATAGGATTGTTTTTTTCTTGTAAATTTGCTTAAGTTCTTTGTAGATTCAGGATATTAGCCCTTTGTCAGACAGATAGATTGCAAAAATGTTCTCCCATTCTGTTCACAATAGTGAAGTTGGAACCAACCCAAATGCCCATCAAAGATAGACTGGACAAAGAAAATGTGGCACATATACCATGGAATACTATGCATCCATAAAAAAGGATAAGTTCATGTCCTCTGCAGGGACATGGATGAAGCTGGAAACCATCGTTCTCAGCAAACTAACACAAAAACAGAAAACCAAACACCACGTTCTCACTCATAAGTGGGAGTTGAACGATGAGAACACATGGACACAGGAAAGGGAACACCATACACCGGGAACCTGTCAGGGAGTGGGGGCTAGGGGAGGGATAGCATTAGGAGAAATACCTAGTGTAGATGACGAGTTGATGGGTGCAGCAAACCACCATGGCACGTGTATACCTATGTAACAAACCTGTACATTCTGCACATGTATCTCAGAACTTTATAATAAATATGTGTACCTATGTACACCATTAAAAAAATTAAATATACATATATACGAATGTTTGTATATATTATATACACAGATACATATGAATATTTTCATATTTTTTCCAATGTTGGACAAGATGCTAATGGATTACTTTCATATTCAGGGGAAACATTAAATGAATTAAAATAAGAGAACCAAATAGTGGCAGTAAAAAGGGGTAGTGGGTCTATTCTTCTAAACACGATAGTTTACCATTATCTTAGCCATGCCAAGAGTTTTCTATAATCTAAATAAATGGCTTTACATGATGGGTTTATTTAAATAGTGTAAACTGTGAACAGGAAAATCAAGGACTGTTTACTTATAGGAACTTACAGGATTTTGTTAACTGTAGTTAGAAGTGTTTTCAAGGTGGCAATGTGATATATACATTTCATGAGGGAAAATGTCACTGTGCTAAGCTTAGCATCTGCATTTCTTTACAGAAGAAACTGATGAAAGGCATACACTATATACAGTCCTGTTTCAAGAGGCTTTTATGTAGGTTGACTCCTCTAACCTAGGCAGAGTAGTAGACTAGAAAAATGGAAACTACTTCTAAAATGATTTTGTGTTGTTACAATCTAGACGTTTTTACACTTATAATCAAATAAGTTTGATGTAGTTGACAGACTTTAAAAAATTTTTAATTGCGTCTGTCCTACATTTGCTAATTTGCTGAGGGATGTGACTCATACTGCAAATTAAAGGCAGCCTTTCACCATGTATTTTGTATGGCAGTCTGGCCTTCTTAAGGATAAAGGGTGCTACAGATCATTAGCATGAGATCTATTAGCTTTGAGCATCTGCCTGTCCACTCTTCCCAGTGTTGCTTAAGCTCACTGCCTTGTTTGGTGTAGTATCTACCTGGTTTGACTTTATGTACTCAGTTTAGAAAAATTTTCTTGAGCAGGACTATGGTGTATTATTATCCTCACAGAGTTTTCACTTAAGGAATTAGAAGCTATGAAATCTTTATTCCAAAGCAAGATAAAACATTGATCTGCAGTCAGTATAGTGATCTTCCTTGTCTTTATGATAGGGGCTTTTCCACGTTTGCTGATGTCATTTCCCCAAGGGAAGTGAATTTTAGTACGATGAACAACTCCCAAAAGGGAGAAGAAAATGAATTACTGGCTTTTCTATCCCTGCCTCAATCAGTGAAGGTGACCGTTCCTTATCTATACCTCTTCCCCTGCCAAGCAAAGGAACCACTCACTAGAAGACCCCAAAGTTAATGAAGGTAAAGCGATATGACGAGGGTCTCACACCATAACTTTTGATTTGTCCGGTAGGACAAGAGTCGCCTGTTTCGAGTGCAGTTCAGTGGAGAGTCGAAGGAGCAGGCGCTGGGACACTGCTGCAGTTGTGTGCAAAAGCTGGCGCAATACATAATCATTCAGGAGCCTGATGGAAACATCCAGGAGCTGCAGCTGAATCCTGGCCCACCCCAGGCAAGTGAAAGTCAAGGGAAGGACTCTGCAAAGAGTGTCCCATGGCAGCATGGAGTAAGCAGGCGGATGTGTTGGCTGCATAGGAAACATGACAATGCAGTGCACAGTGAGTGGCCAAAATGACAGTGGAGTTTGTAGTTTAAAAAACATCTGCCAGGCAAGGTGGCTCACGCCTGTAGTCCCAGCACTTTGGAAGGCTGAGATGGGCTGATCATCTGAGGTTGGGAGTTCAAGACCAGCCTGACCAACATGGAGAAACCCTGTCTCTACTAAAAATAAAAAATTAGCCAGGTGTGGTGGTGCATGCCTGTAATCCCAGCTACTTGGGAGGCTGAGGCAGGAGAATTGCTTGAACCAGGGAGGCGGAGGTTGCAGTGAGCCAGGATCACGCCACTGCACTCCAGCCTGAACAACAAGAGCGAAACTCCGCCTAAAAAAAAAAAAAAAACTAATGTTGAGTGACTTTTTAAAATTGAGGTTGATACTACTTGTAGCTTCCTGTAATTTCAGAAATTAGGGAGGGAGGAGTTCCAGCTGCATTCTGGGTGTCACTGTAGAACAGTGGTTCTCAGTGTGGTCCATGAACCGCTCCCTGGGACTCTTCCAGGGGGCCCACAAGGTCAAAATTATTTTTCTTAATATTTTAAAGAAATAATGTCATTTGCCTTTTTCACTGTGTCAACATTTGCACTGATGAGACAAAAGCATCGAGTCAGGGTGCTGTCATCTCAGTACAGGTGAGGCAGTGGCGCCAGACGGCACTAGTAGTCACCGTCTTCCAGTCATTCACAGTAAGAACAAACTAATGAAATAAAGCAACCCTGCAGTCTGCAGTACTATGGTTGTCTCAAGGGAAAGCACCTGTGTGACATTTGTATTTTGAACTTGCCTCTTTTTTCATAAAATACCATCATTACGTGAGAGAACAACGGACTATGGTCATTCGGATTTGGGTATTTGGCAGGCATTTTCTCAGTCAGTGAAATGAACTATCACTTCAGGAAAACAACTGATAGTATTTATTGAAAATAATAAAATTTAAGCTTCCAAGTGAAAATTAGAATCTTGAAAAACTTGTATCAGCCATATAAGCTTCACAGCTTCCCAACCCAGAAGACTTTTCTACAGGTGCTATTAATAAATGTGATTTATTTTTTTATAAGTAATTACCTGATGAAATGTGTAATATTTGAAAGACAATATATTCAGTGAACCAGTATTGTCTAAATGACCAATGCCTGAATGCTACAAAACCATACATGGATAAAAGAGCTATTTAAAAGGGTAGGATAGGCTAATGGATTGTACAATCCATACAATATAGCAGTGTAGTAAGTTCATTGATAGGGTTTCAGATTTAACATTGCAACTAGCCTTTAAGCCACTCAGTTGTTGAGTTTTGGTGTTATATCAAGGAATATCCAGAGTTATCTGAACAAGCTATTCTAAAATACCTCTCCCTTCTCCATCTACAATTTGTGTGAGGCCAGATTTTCTTCATGTCTTTAACCAAAGCAACACATGACAGCAGACTGAATGCAGCAGCAGATGTAAGAATCTCGTCACCTTCTGTTAAACTAGGTAGTAAAGAGATTTGCAAAAATCATTACATTTTGTTTTAGAAAAGTTATTTTCCATAAAAATGTTTTAAATATTAAGGGGATTTATTTTTAATGAATATTTTTAAATTCCATGTTAATTTCTAATAAGATAAATGCCAGATAAATGCAACTCAAACAAAAGTTATTTGAAGGTCTCATAAGGGGTCTTGAGATATTGAGACTCATGACTATAGAATTTCTCCCAGAAATACGTGTTCTGCATTTCTTTGGCATAGCCCCAAATATTGTTGGAATAAGCATCTACCTCTGCTCTTTAGATGAGATTCTACTTTCAAGCTGGGTTTTGCATTTTCTCTGAGAAGTGATTTTCCAAACCTGGTTTTCCATTACTTCATCCTGTTAGTTTTCCTTAACCAAAACACCTCATATTTGCTGTTCTGTCACTCAGTTTCTTGTTAGTCATAATTTGTCTAAGGTGAACATAAATTTTCATTATTTATTATAAAAATCTTTTTCTTTAAGCAGGTGCTGCGTGATTTCCTCTTGAATGTATTTAGTTTGCCAAACAGATTTTGGTGTTTTGAGTTCTTTCCCTTTGTGAAGATGCCTTAATGCTGAAGCTGCTTGCCTCACAAAGGCAAGGATCTAGTTTCAAACAATAATGCTTCGTCAGTTCCTGCTATATTGTTTAAAAATCCCCTCCTTACAAATGGGTTGGAGTCATTATTATAAGGTATTTTATTGCTTATGACTCTTTGCCCTTTAGATTTTCATGTTTCAACTGCCCATTAGATTCAGATGATGTATGGTATACCCAGTGCATGGAGTGTCACAAAAACCTGAGTCCCAGAATTTGGGAACTCAGTCTGAAATTCCTTATAAAAGTAAAGAAGTCACATCAGGCTAGAACCTCATCAGGCTACATAATTATCTATGTATTACAAATGCAAATAAATTGAAGTTGTAACATGCAGTAACAAATGCTGGATGAGTTGTGAGCGACAGCCCCAGACGAAGGCTCCAGCTCTCTGATGTTAAAGGCTGGTCTCAAGTGTCTAGGTAGAAATACCTGGGGAGTGGTTAGGAAACTTTCATGCCTTTCTTGCTTCTGTTTTCAGGGACTCTTCTGAACTGTAATTTGGTGATTTGACTAAATAAGATAGCATGATGTGGAAAGACCACAGGCTTTGGGATCAAAATGGATCTAGGTTAGAATCCTGGCCCTATTTCTTAGTAGCTGTGTAATTTCATGCAAGCCATTTAGCCCCATCTGTAAAATGGTGAGATTAAAATGCTGCATGGAAAGCACCCAGTACAATCCTGGCAAATATAATCTAAATAACAAAATCCATCATTACTGTTATTGCCAGCACTGTTACCCTTTCAGATGTGCCTTCCCTTGCAAATGAAGAAATCCGCATCCTGGTCAATTAGCAAGAATCAGAACCTCCAGAGCCAAGAGAGGGCATAAGACAGTGTCTGAAGCTGCAGAACAGACAAAGCCATTGGATTAAATTCCACCAGGATGCAGACATTGTGAGGCACCACCTAGAATATTCTAGTCTTCCTAATGACAAAACATTCCCAGGTTTGCTCTTAACTACCGTTGTACAAATTTAGTAGCATGTGCTCTTTCTCAGCATTCGTCTTAAGAGTTGCAAGCCACGGTCACGTTCTGGTCATTCTGCTGCTTTCTTATATTCAGGTGTGTCATTTTTGTTAATACCTATATAGTTTTTAGTATAAAATAGTTGTTTCCTTCTTTGCAAATAGAGATAATTCTATGTCTATTTCAAGTTCTTGAGTCATTTCTTGGCTCACGTTTTGACTTTTGCTTTCCCTCAGCCTTGTAATTTTGTTAATTGTGGCTTAACCAGGCATTTCTCAACCTTAGCATTTCAAAGGCAACCAGCCTACCCCAGGGAGGAGTACGGGAAAGACAGGAGAGAGGATGGCAGTTCCTATGTGAACTCTTCCCTGTTAGCACAAGAAGTCCAGAAGAAAGTAGCTAGGGGACTCCAGACCCTTCCATCTCTATGCTGTTGCAGGGTGGACCATCTAATCCTAGAGTCCGCTAGCCTCAGGTGCTGCAGTTCCACTTGGCTATTTTTTACAATGTGTCTGGCAGACAATTTTGGTTGACATCTTTCACAGTTCTTTGTGTGAGGTGAATTGATATGTATCCTAGGGAAGCATGAAATGTCATAGCTGAAGAAACATTAGGCACTGGAGTCTGCCTTGTTTTTACAGGTGAGGAAACTGAAGAAACAGCAGAGAAATGGGGCTTGTCTAAGGCTCCTGATTATAGAGTCCACTGGCCATTTTGCTCATTTTCTTGATTGGTTTTCTTGTCTTTGTTCTTTCTTTCCTCAGTGTATATCCACACCTCCTTTTCTGTTGTTGTTTGATGCTTCCAGGTCTGGTTTTCTGCTACCTACTGACTAGCAACCACCAGCTTCTCTGTAGGACAGAAGGCAGAATTTACCATCTCCTGCCTTCTGGTAGTCAGACATGTTGGTGATGGACAGAGGTGCCCTCCAAAGAGTGCCCTGTTTTCTCCCTGTATTGCACCAGCAGCTCATACCTAGTGCAGGAGCACCACTGCTTGTCTGGAGATTAGCACTGCAGCAGCCTCAGGTACCCAAAGCATAGTGGGGCTGCAGACGTGTGGCTAGGAAGGGAGGGAGGTAGGCCCTTCATGCCTCCAGGGCTCCTGCACCCCTTGTTCATTCCATTTGCTCATATCCTACCCAAGAACAACCTGTTACCATAGATTCTCTCCAGAGAGCATGGACCTTGGAGAATCCCTGTGCTTCCTGCTTAGCATACAGCCTTCCAGTTTACCCACTTCTCTGGGAACCTTAAGCGTTTACATACCCGTTGATTCCAGCACTTCCTGAGTTGCAAGATAATCATGGTTTTACTTGTTAAGTTCTTACTAGACCGTGGGCTTCTAGAGGGCAGGACTCTGTCTTTTGTAGCTCCCATCCCTGTACCACCCCAGTGTCTAGTATGTAGGAGGCATAAACAGTGTTTGAAAGAAGATATCTGTAAGTTCTACTTACAGAACTCATTCCTTCAGAATATCTAAAATTTTTTTAATCCAGTTTTATTGAAATCAGTTGTCTTAAAATTATAGAGGATTTCCCCCTTAAAATTATAGAGGTTTTCTCCCATTTTGCATTTCTGCAATGAACATGTATTACTTGAGTAATAATTTTTAGAAGGTGACAGATCATCATCTAAGCTGGGGCCCGTCCACTGCATGCAGGCTGCCATGGTAACAGCACCTGTTTCTGGGGATACCCACTCTTCCAGGGTCCACATGTGGTCCTGAACCCTAGAGGCTGGGCCTCTTATAACAGAAGAATGCCTCAGTGTCTGACAGGAAGAAGCACTAACAGCCTGCCAGACACTGAGGAACACCAAATAGAGGCCAGGAGCTGCAAATTTAAACTCAGTACTTCTGCTGTGGTAACTCAAGTAACCCTCTGTTTAAACCAGGACAGACCTATGCTGACAACCATTTTTACCACTCTTAGTGGTATTTTCTTTGAACATGAATGCATATTTCTGCTTTAATGGCCTATGGTATTTAAGATTACATTCAGCTAGTCTCCTTACTGTATGTTGTTTTATTCCAGTCCCACCAGCACTCAGAACAGCAGGTGTGTGTAAAGGCGGGCACAGGCACTCCAGACGGAAGGACCTCACTGACAAAGTTAGCTCAGGTAGAACTTATTTCTGTGTTCAATTTTCTTGTCATGAAAAACAGTGACCCCTAAGAATCTGTATGCCTTTGTTCACTCCTTTGTTTTAGAAGAGAAACCTGAAGCGTTACTCTAAAAGATGATAAAGACAGAGATAGGCCATTTTCTTCTACCCCTTGCTGAATGAGTTTTATTACAGTAAGTTGTGAGATGAGACATGATGGCTGCAGGCACACAGTCAAGGTCTACCCTCCTAAGGGAGTAAAAAGAGGAAGAATGGTTGACTGTCCAAGACAGAAAATTTAATCACCACTTTCCCAAAAAGAATAAATGGAGGACTTCATTGCAATTTTGGAAATGATATTTGGGAACTATTTTAAGACAAATACCAAAATGAATGTGGATTCAGATCTACAACGATTTCTTTTTGGGCAAATTGTTAGTGTTCAGCTAAGGATGTGTAGAAACCCCGGAGGGTTCAACTGTTACCACAGACGTGCTTTCAGATAGCCCCTTGCCCCCTGCCAGAAAAAACTTCAAACCTTGGTTGGGTGATGTCCACCCTCCTGGGAGCTCTGCAAGGACTTTGTGTCCCCCTCACTGCATTCCTCATTGCACGTGTTCAAGTCAGCAACTTATTTCCACAGAATTCTGTGTGAAGTTCATCAGTATTCAAGTATGAATTTAATTTTATCTATTTTTTTTGAGGTAGGGTCTTACTGTGTTGCCCAGGCTGGAGTGCAGTGGCATGATCTCGGCTCACTGCAACCTCTGTCTCCCAGGTTCAAGCGATTCTCCTGCCTCAGCCACCCAAGTAGCTGGGATTACAGGCACATGCCACCATGCCCAGCTAATTTTTGATTTTTAGTGGAGATGAGGTTTCACCATGTTGGCCAGGCTGGTCTCAAAGTCCTGATCTCAAGTGATCCCCCCACCTCAGACTCCCAAACTGTTAGGATTACAGGTGCATGCGAGCCACTATGCCTGGCCGAATTTTCTTTTAATCCATCTGCTAAACTGTATGTAATCAGTAGTGCCAGAAAGTCTTAGGAAGACTAAGAATAAATTAACAAATTAAGAGGGCTATTTGTCCATCAGCAGGACAGACTGAATAAAGCCCATATTTGCATTGGGGTTTAGGGTCTAATTGAATCGGAGAAGCTGAGGAAAATCGAGCTGTAATAAAACAATAAGCAAGGCAGGGTGTGATGTTCTTATTTAGGGAATACCAATTGCTATAAAAGGTATACCTTTGCCAAGTTTATTTACATAGTATGGAAGAACCATATACAAATGAGAAAAATCACGAAGCTTGGAGCTCACATGTATTGCTTGTTTGCTCTTATCTTTTAGACATGTCATTCTATGTAAGTTGGTAAAACTTTCTGGAAGGCAATTTAGCAGTAATATCAAATTTAATATGTTATCTATAATTTCATTTAAACTACACAAATATACATATAAATATGTACATCTCACTTGTAAGAAATTGGAAACAACATAAATGTTCATTTAATAGGATATTAAGTGTGGTATAACCATAGCTAGCATAAAAATCCAGTTAATAAAAGGGATATAGGCCAGGCATGGTGCCAGTCCCAAGCACTCTGGGGGACCAAAGCAGGAGGATCACTTAAGGCCAGGAGTTCAAGACCAGCCTGGCCTAACATAGTGAGACCCTATCTCTAAAAATAAACAAATGCTGCATATCCCTATCTGTTGACATGGAAACATATTCATAATACATTGAGCTTTTTAAAAACGAGGATACAAGACTATGATTTTGTTTCTGTAATAAATACACTAAGTTTGGAAGGACATACACTAATATGTTAACAGTGGCTCTCACTGGAGAACAGAGGTCCATGTTACTTTCACTTTCTTCTTTATACCTTTAGGCAGAGTGTGAAAAGCTAATCTGATACTTGCTTTTAGAAAAGAAAACTTTGGTTACAGATAGTTCCCAGAGAAATGTCAGTCAGTACTTACACACTAAACCATGCTATCCACAGAAAGGGAATAAAACCACCTACCTCATAGAATTAATGTGAGGAGTCGGTAAGATGACTGAGTCAGTGCACCAAAGTGAGTGGACCACAAAGAACCGGAGCCCATCATCGCCATGTGGGACTGGATCCCAGTGTTGCCACATCTTCCAAATTGTCAGGATTTTTATTTGAACTTTCCTAATATTTAAATGTTGGCAGCTTATTCAACTAGTTTTAAAACACTGCAGGTTACCAAAGAAAACATACAGATGGCAAATAAGCATGTGAAAAGATGCTCAACGTTACTAATCATTAGGCAAATGCAAATTAAAACCACAATGAAACATCCTGCCAACTTATTAGAATGCCTAAAATTAAAAACAAAAACAAAAACTGCCAATACCAAATCCTGGATGGGTGAGCAACCAGAACTCTCCTATACGCTGCTAGCGGAATGTAAATGGGACAGCCACCAGAGATGACAGTTTGGCAGTTTCTTACAAAGGTAAATATACACTGACCACATGACCCCATCCCAGGTATTTACTGAAGTGAAATGAAAACCTGTGTTCACACAAAAACCTGTAAGTGAATGTTTAAAGCACTTTTATTCATCATTGCAAAAAAATAAAACCACCCAAATGTGCTTCAGCTGGAGGACAGATAACCAAACTCTGGACCATCCATGCAATGTGGTACTTACTCGGCAATAAAAATGAACTACTGATATACTCAACATCATGGATTAATCTCAGATTTATCCATCATGCTAAGTGTCAGAAGCCAGATTCAACAGAGTATTACGATTTCATTTCTATGACATTCTGGAAAACGCAAAACTATATGGAGAAGAGCTCAATGGTTGCCAATGGTTAAGGGTTTGACGGCAATGATTAGCATAAGGGTCAGGGAATTTTTTTGGGAAGTGAAAGAAATGTTCTGTATTTTTATTGTGGTGATAGTTACATGACTATTTGTCATCAACTCACTGACGGCCAGAATGAGATGCATGTGAACTAATGTTGTCCTTTGGGCAGTCTGTGACCTCTCTTTCTTTCAGAATGCAGGTGGCACATAGTAGACTCCTCACATCCACTCTGCCACCTATGCTGTGGGGAAGATGAACTAAGTCAGTGGAGCTTAGTTCATGGATAGGTTTCTTTCCAATCCACAGCTTATCAGCACAGTATTCTTCATTAAAGTAGAATGTCAACTTTGCAAATCATTTCATCAGTACATTTGAAATCCTTTCCTTAAGGCAACAATTATTTCGCATGCTATGTGTATTCAGAAAACGTATTAAAAGACAAAATTATAAATGTAATAGTAAAACTGTGTAAAGAAAGCCTGTAAAGCTAATTAACGCTAATTTTTTCGTGTGTAGTTCCCTAATTTTTCCTGAAAGCACTATTTGTCTGTGTTCTGTTAGCCAGGCATTGCTTTCACCTGTAATCTGTAACTGTTTTTCTGGTATCCCTACAGACACTTCTGGCCTCCGAGGAGCTGCCCCGTGTCTATGAACAATCTGCATGGGGTGCAGAAGAATTAGGCCCCTTCCTCCATCTGTGCCTCATGGATCAGAATTTCCCAGCATTTGTGGAAGAGGTAGAAAAGGAACTTAAAAAGCTGGCGGGGTTGAGAAATTAATTCTCTGTATACATATAATTAATGAACTTCAAAGTATTGAATGCTTCCTCCTAAAATTAAAGAAGATATTAGAATAAAGAGTATTATTCCAAACACCTTTTATCAATGTTTTATTTTTAAAAACAGGTGAATCCACTTTTTTATACATCATTGCACTTCAATAATTACACAAAACACAAGTACATGCATTTACAGTTACGCACCGCATAAGAACCCTGTTAGGTTATAAAATCTACCAACCATCAACCAGTAAATCAATGTGAAAAAATACAGTGTCAAACCAAAAAGTATAACTAGAGTTGCATAGAATATCACCATGCTATAACATTTCAAGGTCATTGAAAACAAAAGAAAAATTATAAAAGTTTGCCTTGATTGAATGTACAAGAATAAGGTTCAACACATCAGTGCAAAAGGATTTATGAATTTACATGACTTAACAAAAGAAAAGATCATCACTTAAAAAGCAATCATACGTATATACTGCAATTCATCATACCCATTCAGTGGACTGTTCCAGCTTATTAAAGTCACAGGTTAAGCCCTTAAAAATTATAGATTTGTTTATATTCCTCATCTTTATGTACCAGAACTGCACAATTTCCTCATCTGACAACATACAATAAGGAATGAATATCAGCAGCTTAAAAATGAAACAAGCATTTACTTTATTTTGGATTTCTCCCACCCCCAAAAATATAAATATATATATATATTTATATACTGTATATATCTGTAGGTTTTGCTGTACTTTACAAAAATGTATCACTAGATGGCAGCAGTGCATTTTAGAGCTTTGCCAATTTAACAGCTGCATTAAGTAAAAAATGGCGCATGCATGATCTGATCCTCAGAGGACCTTTTCACTTCTATTTAAATATTTTAACAAAGGAAAAAAAGCAACATTCACAGCACATCAAGCCCAAAACAGTTTACACCTTCTACACTGAAGCATTGTTTAAAATGTACCTGGCTAGGTCACCCTTACAGGAGAGGCTAAATAAGGCATGCTTTAGACAGTCATTGTGGTGTTGCTCACTTGAAAGGGGAGAGAACCAAAGAGGTCCAAGCAGAAAATTTAGCAGGTCATGTTGCCACCAGTTTCAGGAACCTAAAGTTCTGTAAAGAAAGATATATTTGGAAATTAAAAGGGAATATGCACTGTCACTCAGAACTACACCATGTGCTACATAAAATAAAGCTTTGGTTCCAACAGCATGCTTTGGGATGTGGTGTGAAATTCTGATCTCCATGTGCCTAACAAGATGATGTTCTGGCCTTGCTGCTGCTGCCTGGCCACCATTCTTGTCTTGCCCCCAGATGTAAGGTCAGACTAGTAGACCTATGGGAATAATCCACCTAAGAAGGTGACAATTTAATTTTCACCTCTTTGTAAAGATATAATAGTAGCAAAAAGTATTTATGTTAAAACATCATGTCTTCTGAAATGGCATTCATGTAAATACGTGACAAATGCAGCTGATGGCTAGGTACGGGGCTCACGCCTGTAATCCCAGAACTTTTGGGAGGCTGAGGCAGACGGATCACTTGAGGTCAGGTGTTCAAGACCACCCTAGCCAACATGATGAAACCCTGTCTCTATTAAAAATGCAAAATTTAGCTTTGCATGGTAGCGGGCACCTGTAATCCCAGCTACTCGGGAGGCTGAGGCAGAAGAATCTCTTGAACCCAAGAGGCGGAGGCTACAGTGAGGCAAGATCACACCACTGCACTCCAGCCTGGGTGACAGAGTGAGACTCCATCTCAACAATAACAAAAAAAAGAAAAAACACACAAAAACCAATGCAGCTGCAAAATGTTCCTTTCCAGTCACTAAACTGGGCAGACTGATCTGGCTCTATCAGTATCAGCTGCTCTAAAATGAACTAAAAGATCTTACAACATAACACAATTACTGAAGAATTTGTAACAAGGTCAACAGAGGACATTCATTTGAATATAATTTTTAAAACTGCTAAAGGCGGCCATACTTACATTGTAAGCAGTATTAATTTGTGTTTCTCTGGCGCAAGTTTTTATCTTTGTGATTGTTGGTAGAGTTGGTTTTCCTTTGGAGGAAAAATTGTATTACATGAGTTAAACTTGGTCAATAACAACTTTTGAAAGTATAACACATGGAAATACAGGGACTCTTTCACTTACTACAAAACACACCCCTGGTATAGTGAGAAATTTCGTGGTACAACATGAGTCCATAAAAAACATTCCTTAAGTAGCCACAGGGTGAGTATACCTCATCTGAAATTCTTGGGATCAGAAATGTTTCAGATTTTTAGTTTTTTTCAGATTTTGGAATATTTGCATTATACTTACCAGTTCCGCATCACTAATCTGAAAATCCAAAATCCAAAATGCTCCAATGAGCATTTCCTCTGAGCATCATGTCAGCACACAAAAACCTTTGGATTTTGGAGCATTTCAGATTATGGATTTTGGTAGGAGGCATACTCAACCTGTATATACCTCATTTTATCCTCCTTTTTACTCCCAAGCCAGAAAAAAAAAAAAAAGTTTGAAAAACTTTTCTCCACTGAACACAACACAACTGTCCCTTCTTAACTGATAAAAGATAATCATAAGGTGGCAGTGCTGGGCCCTCTGGTACTTAACAAATTTGGGTGCTGTCTGCCTGCCTCTCACTCTTTAGTCCAACTCTAGTGGATTCTGCCAATCTGGATTGCTTCCATGTCTGCAGTACTCTCTTGGATACCAGCAATTGTTAATGGAGCTAGACAGTTTATCCAGGTTACAGCCCAGCTTCAAATTAATATTGACAAAACTGGAAGCCTCGGATATACTGGTCATTTCCGCCACATTTTAAGCACATAGAATATGCAAAATTTGAATAGAACAAATTTTGCATGGTATTCCACTTTGTATGGCCACTGAAGAAGAGACCGCATAGCCTATCCCGGGAATCAAATGGTCTTTAGTCAGATCTGTGTCAGGCTAAGAAATCTACACCGCAACCTTCATTTCCACTCACTGTCTTCCCCTCCAATCTTAGCTGCTCTATTTGATTAAACTGCAAATAGAACATGATTCAATTGAATCAGTGTCCAATACAGTACTTACATTGGTCCAGCTGGTTCATCGTCTGTATGGCGTTCAGGTTTTTGATAATCCATGAGAGAGAAGAGAAGAAAGGAGAAAACTGTTAGATTCTGCATAAGGATTAACAGAACAGCAAACTGCAAGTGGCAATCATGGCTACTCACAGCATTTATTAAAGGCCATTCCATCTGGAGGTGCAAAACACTCATGGAGTTATTATTTCTAGATTCAAGTTTAAATGGCAGGTATGTTGTTTCAATGGTTTTAGTTAACACTTTGAATGCTTGTCATGAAAAACTGCAACTGTAGCGGACAGATAGGCTGCAACATTGTTATACTCATCTTGTCCCCAAGTTCCAGTGGTTCACTCTTAAATAGATGAGAAGACAAACCAACATTTCAGTTGTAAAATCCTGCTGTTTGTTTTCTTGTGAATGCATGCAGTTTTGGCTCAATCCTGCAATGTGAATGGATGTGTACATTCTGTACATTTAGCCACACATCCTCACTTCCCCAAAGGGCACTCTGTTTTTCTTGCTGGTTTTTTGTTTTGTTCTGCTTTGTAATCATTAGGAGAGTCTTTAGTCTGGAGAATGAGATTGAGGAAGAGGCAACCACAATAGTTCAACCTAAATTGGGTCAGCCATGCTGGGCTATGCCAGCAACAAGTGTATGTATACCAGAGGATGTTCTGTGACACACCAAGGAAAGCTGAACAGTGGTGACATCCCTCTAGAAAAGACTTCAGAAAGACAGGCTCACTCTTGTGCCCTGGCCAAACTCAGAAGCCAAACCCAGGGGAGCCATGAGATAACTTTTTTAAAATAAAAAAGCTGACATTATATGAGTTTAAGCCTTCTTAAATTGAGACTTTATGATTCTGATTTATAAGTCTTTCGTGTTTCAACTAAGTGCAACTTGATCCTCTTTAAGCAAAGATATACATTCACAGAAAGAATGTTTTAGAGAGACCCACAAAGGGGAGGAACAAGTAAGTGCTCTTAGTTTGTTTTTATTATACAAAAGTCAGGTAGACTAAATGATTCAGAACAGTTTGATTTCACTGAAGGCTTCTAGAAAAACTCTCAGCAGGATTCCACAAGGGGGCTTGGTGCACATGAAGCAGTTATGGAGATTACAGTCTCAGTGTAGGCATCTGCAGGAGCACACGTCGGGAGTAATGTCTGTCAGAGGGAGACATTGCTCCACCTGTTCCTTCGAGGCAACGGAGAGGCAAAGCCACCGCCAGCACACACAGTGACTGGAGCAAAAAAGGATTTCAAAAAAAAGAACTAACCACAAACCAATGACTCATCAGCCAAAACAATAGGCTAGCGACACACTAGTGTCCACAGGAGTCCACTACTAACAACAGTATACACTATCAAACAGGAACAGAGAACAAACTAAGACTTAAGGACACCCAAGACATCTGTGTGCTGTGTATGCAGTGGAGAGATACAAAGACATACCAGGTACTAAGACACACAAGCCCAGCCTAAATTCTCCCTTCACAACATCCTAATGCTCAGCATCCCGGCCAAGCCAGCTCAGCTACATGCTAGGAACTAAGCACTCAGGGGATTTAAATGAAAGGACATAGGAGCAAACTTGGAATGTTTTTAGTGCTCTGGCTGTGCACTTGAAAACAGAAAATTCTAATGCAAGATAGCCGAATCAAGAATACACCAATCTACTCCCAAATTTAAAATAAAAAGCAGGGGAGGGAGAATCGCAATAGCCAGGCTAATCTTTTCAAAGCATAACATTGTAGGCACCAACCCAAGCACCTCACACCACGGGCTTTTTTCCTTTTGGAGTGGGGGTTTCCCTGGTGTCTGATTAGTAATGTCACTTTCCAGCCCAACAAGCTGGTAACATGCAAAGGGCTGCATGGAGGTGTTTCAGCGACAGTGCCTCTGGCGTAGCTGCCATGCCTGCAAGTGGGAGCAGCTGATTCACAAGGGGGCAAAATCCCAGG